AATGATGAAGAAGGTCTGCTTGTGAATATGCACTTTTACCACTATTTTGCTACACTTTTAATTCACTTTTGTTGTACATTAGTGAATATGGTATTTTGAATTTGATGAATTGATAATTTTGCTTTTTTTTATCGAAAAAGAATTGATTTGATCTATTTTTGCTTTCTTTTAATTGATCTTGATATTCATAGGTCTTGAATAGTAGTTGAATTAATTGTGATGTTGAGATTATCGAGAAAGAATTATGATGTTATTAGTGAACTAGTTGAAGGTGAGGATTTGCCCAGAAAATTATTGTATTTTTTTACAACAATTGCTGAAATTCTCTACAGCAATTAAACAAGTTGTATTTTCTACAACAATTGTTGAAATTCTCTAGAACATATAGCAATCTGATTTTGACTAATAATAAATATGATGGTTTTGACTAATTTAAAAAGAAAATCTAGAACGGATAGCAATTTTACTTGAATTAGCTACAACAAATAAGCAAATTGTTGTATTTTTCATAGCAATTGCTACAATTCTCTACAACAATTAAACGAATTGTTGTATTTTTTTTATAGCAATTGCTGAAATTGTCTATAGCATGTAAGAAGATTGTTGTACTTTTTATAGCACTTGCTGAAATTTCTTTAACAAGTAAGCAAGTTAATTGATTAATTGATTGTAACACTTATATTCATATTTAATGATAAATAGAGTAGTGTTGATTTAATTTAAAAATAAAATTTACATTAGATAGTGATCTTGTATAATGAGATATTTTATTTGAGATACCAGACGATCAATTTCATTACAATTTCACATGTAATCAATTTATAATGAGTAAATGATCGTTTATTGGTTATAACACTCATATGTAATGATAAATAGAGTGATCTTCGTCCAACTTACAAATAAAAGGTAGTTTTGATAGTAATCTTACACAAAAAAGATAGTAATTTGAGATATCAAACGATCAATTAAGTAATTTCACATGTAATCAACCTAAATTGATAAATTGATTGTTAATTGGTTATATTAATCATATTCAATGATAAATAGGATGGTTTTAGCTAATTTAAAAAGAAAATCTAGAATAGATATCAATTTTATTTGAATTTGCTACAACAAATAAGCAAATTGTTGTATTTTTCATAGCAATTGCTACAATTCTCTGCAACAATTAAACGGATTATTGTATTTTTTTTATAGCAATTGCTGAAATTGTCTATAGCATGTAAGAAAGTTGTTGTACTTTTTATAGCAGTTGCTGAAATTTCTTTAACAAGTAAGCAAGTTAATTGATTGTTTATTGGTTGTAACACTCATATTCATAGTTAATGATAAATAGAGTAGTGTTGATTTAGTTTAAAAATAAAATTTACATTAGCTAGTGATCTTGTATAGCGAGATAGTTATTTGAAATACCAGACGATCAATTTCATTAAAATTTCACATGTAATCAATTTATAATGAGTAAATGATTGTTTATTGGTTATAACACTCATATATAATGATAAATAGAGTGATCTTCGTCCAACTTACAAATAAAAGGTAGATTTGATAGTAATCTTACACAAAAAAGATAGTAATTTGAGATATCAAACGATCAATTAAGTAATTTCACATGTAATCAACCTAAATTGATAAATTGATTGTTAATTGGTTATATTAATCATATTCAATGATAAATAGGATGGTTTTAGCTAATTTAAAAAGAAAATCTAGAATAGATATCAATTTTATTTGAATTTGCTACAACAAATAAGCAAATTGTTGTACTTTTCATAGCATTGCTACAATTCGGCTAATTTTAAAAGAAAATCTAGAATAACTAGTAATTTTATTTGAATTTGCTACAACAAATAAGCAAATTGTTGTACTTTTCATAGCATTGCTACAATTCTCTACAACAATTAAACGAATTGTTGTATTTTTTACAACAACTGCTGAAATTCTCTACAACAATTAAACGAGTTGTTGTATTTTTTTTTACAACAATTGCTAAAATTTCTACAACAAGTACGAAAATTATTGTACTTTTCATAGCAATTGCTGAAATTCTCTACAACAAGTAATAAAATAATAATAAGACTAATAATAAAATCAAATATGCCCTCAAATCAGAATAACAACAATTAGTACCAAAATAGATAAGATCAAATGTGTTCACAAATAATAACAATCATCGCACTTCTCGCGGCCAGTTTTACTCTTCCAACGCCAAATATAACGATTGTTGGACTCAACCCATTCACCATTACAATCAACTGCTACTACTATTCTATCTCCCATTAATGCTGTTGAAGATACCTAAAAATATTATAACTTAGAACTAATTGATCATAAAAAAATTATATTAAAATATCACAATTGTTGTAAGTTATTCAGCAGCTGCTGAAATGGATATAGAAGTTGCTGCAATTTATTCAACAACAATATCTATTTCAACAAATTATTCAGCAATTGTTGTAAATTACTGGAATAGTCATATCACTTGCTGAAAATTATTATACATAAGTGGCAAGAACAATAATACAAAAATCAAAATTTTTAAATGAATAATACACACAAAACAATACTATTAACTTATTAAAATGATTGAAATTTACCTGCTAAGTAATTTCTAAAGCTTAGACCTTTTCAAATCACATGTTAATTTAAAATTTGAGATTTTCCCTTCTCAAATTCTTCAAATAAGAAATCTACAATAAGTTGCAACACCAACAAAAGAAGAAGAAGAAGAGGAAGAAACGCTAGAGATGAAAATTAGAAGCAAAAAAATGTGAAAATATGAGAGCGGGACGTTAAGAGAACAAAAAAAAGACTGATTTGGGGGCTTTCCTCTTTTAGAAATTAGGTTTTAGTTAAAATTTGGGTGAAAGTGTTAAAATAAAAACTTGAGGGTCTATTAAAAAAAAGTCAATTATTTTTAAAAGTTGATTACAAGTTTGTCACCTAGACTTAATAATTAAAACTTGAGTCACTCTTTTTACATTTCAACTCTTTTTTGTTACCTATAATTCATTCTCCCACTGCTCAGTGGTGCTCCGAATGATCAACTCTGCAATTATCTCGATTTATAAGATTGTACGATTTTAAAATACGTTATTAAAATTTAAGATCTTTTTAAAAATAAAATACATATCATCTTGTTTAAAATGAATATGAACTTAGAATTTAATCGAAGACCATTATCTCAAGTATATAAAATGCACCTAAATTGAATATTATAACCATATACAATGTATACTTTCCATTTGTTAAAGCTAGCGATTGTGTAGCTAGACAATGTATTACTTGATTCTCAGTTTTAGGATAATAACATCACATTGTAGTTAATATCTCAAATCAGTCAAATTCTACCATTAGTAGCATGTTGGTAATTTATCGAACACCCAATAATTTGTTTAAAAAAATAATTTAAAATTATAATTTCATTCCTAAAATTACATAGGCACTAATAGTGCCAATAGCAAATAAAAAACTAGATGATAATTGTACAATTGAAATGACCCAACTCTATTAGTTTACAAATTCCGAACTATTATTAAATATCATCAAAAAAGAATATTAATGTCCATGACAAATTCGAGAAGAGATAAGGAAAAAAGATATAAAACTACTTTTTAAGACAAAATTTTCGACTCCGTTCAAGGCTTTTATTTTTTGCTCAAAATATTAATAATTAGTTTGACTAAATTATTAAAAGTCAAAAATGTATTTGTTTAAGTGTTTATCTTTAACAAGAGAGCTATTTGATTAGGTTTTTAGGAGAAAGTAAGTGATATTGAAAAATAGCAAGGCTTGTTAGTTTTTCAAAAGCTAAAATAAATAGTGTTTTTTTCCGAACAATTTTTTTAAAAAATAACACTAGAAATAATTTTTATAAGCTTGGTCAAATACTAATTATTGCTCAAAAGTACTTTCAAATTAAATAGTCAAATATAAACTGTTTTCCTCTTTTTTTTTCTATTTTTTTTATAAACACTTTTCAAAATAAGTTGATTCTAGTCATACAAAACTTTTAATGATCACAAAAAGGACTACTAATACTAGAGATGGTATGACTCCTTTTGGAGTTTTTTTTGCTTGGTTTTCTATTTGATGTTCAATATCCATATGGGAGCTCGACTATTTCGAATTCGTGTTGCTTAGGGAGGGCCCCATTTGAGGAAAAGTGCTCCCTATCAAGAATTTTTCTATACTCAAAACTCAAATTCGAGATTTCTAATTAAAGAAGGAACAACGGATGATTCCCCTTTTGGAATATTTGAATGACTTTATAATAAAACATGTACTCAAGTAGGCATCGAAAAATATCCTTAGTATACCTTCTATAAGCTAACCGTGGTCGTGTTGATTTGTGTAAATACTTTTGTTACATAATACAATAGGGTTCTTATGTACTTTATAAATATCCATTAAATATGTACCTTGTACCTTATATATACCTTCATGATATACAATTCAGATGTTGTATGCCTTAATAATATACAATAAAATAATATAGAACAATGTGATTAACTATTTTTGCTATTATATACCTTCTGGATATATAATTATTTAAAGGAATTTTTTTCAAAATGTCAATATTTTAGCATTTAATAGGATTCCTTAGTCACATTTTCAATATTTCTATTATATAGAAAGGTGAAGGCAACCAGACGACCACTGGCATTTTAGAAAATATCATTACTATATAAGGGTAAAATAGTAATTTCATCTTAAGATCCAAATCTTCCCTTTCTCTCCAGCACTAGCAAAGCAGGAGCTTTCATTAATCTCTTGCATTTTAGCACACTCTCTTTAATCTCCTCTCTTTCATCACAATCTTTTTGTTAAAAATCCTCTCTTTCAGCTCAGCAAATCGGAGGTATGTTTTTCTTTCAAATTTCTATATGTTATTTTTCCGCTTATACACACATCTATATTTGGGGATTTGCTCTTTTACTCCATTTTTTTAAAAAAGAAAAAAAGATTTGAAAAATTCATTCTCAATTCTCACTGTCTTGTTAATGAAAATAGATAAGAATTATCCAAGAATAGATGAGAATTTCTTATTTATTTTCTTTGTTTGTGTATAAAATCTCGATCTTTGAACGATGTTCGTATTAGTTTCTGCATTCCTTGATATGATTGGTTGTTTACAAGTTATTGTTAGTCTTTGACTGTACAAAAGTTATTCATTCAGTTTCTCGAGAGTTTTGTTATGGAGTTTCAACTCGAGATGAATTTGGTAGAAGGCGTAGGGGCGAGTTCCTCACTGCCGAGGAGTTTTGGTTGCTGTGCAGTGTATGATATAAAAAATGATGTGTATAATTGTCTTCTAGAGACTGGAGGCCGTTAGACCTTTAACGACTTAAATTTTTTGCTCAAGAGATGGTTTAAAAAAACTTCACTACTTCTAATATAAAAATTATGTACTCACCTTTTGAATATGATATTGAGAAATAAAATCGATAGAATTCCCGAATATGTAGCAAATTTACTCTTTTTCCCCATGAGCACTCATTTTGATGGCTGATTTAGCACATGAGAACATAAATTCCAGTCATAAAAGCAAAGCTCTTCATTCTAGAATGTAAAAGTTCCTAAGATATATTTAAATTTGGAAAGATATCACCTATGGAAACTCAACGTGCTATTACTCATGAAAATTTTCTAGATTTATACAAAAAAGATCAGTTTGAATCTGCCTATTTACTGTAGCTTCTCCCCAAAATTAACAAGTAGTTTTTTCTTTGTTTTGAAACGTACTTGTAGTTATGAATTAACCAGTAGCTACCAAAGATGAGATATTTCTACTTTGTTCCTCTAAGTGATATTGGTGTGTTGCATAATATGGCAACCACTAAATTGGCGTATGTATGAAATTGTATGCTTGTGTTAATATAGGACAGCCTCATGTTGTTTTCTTTCTTTGAAACTGATTTGTTTAACTAAGATGTATATGTTGCGTATCTTGGGGCCTTTCTTGGTTATACGGAAAAGTTGTTGAAAAAAGCAGATGGCGCCAATCCTCTGCTGTCTTTCCATATGGTTATCATGTATTTGCTCAACTTTTTGCATCATCACTCGCTCGGCTTAGACGAGGTAAAATGCTTACATAACCTCTTTCTATTGTGCTACTTGACAGCCACATTTGTTGAGAGTTGTAGCCTATAATTGAATCTAAATATTCATCGACTTCTATTGCAAATGTCATGAGTCCAGTATGGTCCTTATGAAGTAACCTATATGAGAGAGACAAGAGTATGGTGAGATTTCTAGCAGTAAAGGTGATTTTTTGTGAGATCTTGTTTCAAAATAATTCATGTAGGATGTTTAAATGCTGGATAATGCATAAAAACGAATTAGGGACAGAAATGTCCATTATTAGGTGGCCTATTTCACATGGTTAGTAGTCCGCCAATCTTATTTAACACATGTTAATCTACCAAAAGAAGTTTTAAGTTGTGCAATATGTGTTACATTTGTAAAGAAGATATGGAAAGAAATCGCCACCTATATCACTTTTTGGTGGCTCACAACTTTGAAACATGTTTTTGAACTTATTTAATCTAAAAATGAACAATGTCATACTCAACAATGAGTTATTGTTAATTTGCATCATAAAGGTCAAGAGGATTTGCTGCACAATACAAAAAAGAGAGAATTTTTTTATCTTTTGAAGACAAAGCAAAACACATCAATAAAATCAAATTGAAATTTGTGTGTTGTCTTTTTGGTGTCCTAAACTTCACCTGTGTGATTACACCGAGTATTTTATTGATGTTGTTGTTGTTGTCTATTTAGTGTAGGTAGAATGTATAACATAGTGGTGTAAATATGATAAAATTTGTTATTACATTTTGGTAAAATCTATTGACGTCTAACCCAAACTATTGATGGCTAACCCAATGGGCTAGAAAAAATAAATAGTAAACAGGTCGTGCATGGTGAGACGACTAACAAATAAAAAAAGGGTATGATACAACAGATTAGGAAGGAAATTAAAGTTGTTTTTGAAAGATTCATGGAATCGATTCATGACAAACAGATAAGGTAAATGGTCAAGTTATCGTTTGGGTTGGAGTCCCATGTTTTGTCTACTTTAATCAATCAACAAATTTACTGCATTTTCAATTTATTTGGCCCAAAGCAACAAGTTATGTGATTCTTGTGATTTTTTTTTTTTTTTTGCTCTTGCCATTAAAGTGCCTTTGTCGTGCAAATTATTTATGGTTGTATAAATTGGAAAATCAGGCGTAGACAATGCCTTAAGGTTATAATGCTCAGTTTCTTTTGGGCAGATATAGTATTTGCTCACAAGCTTGAATAGAATATATTTATTTATATTCAACCTCACTACCGCAAGTGTAATATGCTTCACATTTCCAATATATCAAGTATTTTGGTTCAGCTAAGACAACTAACATGAGTGCAGAACAAATATGGATATTTGATAGTGCTAATTGTCCCAGGTACGCTATTCCTCTTTGTCTCTAATATTATGGAATGACATTACATGAGTTTATCATTGATTCTACTTATTTACGAGACTTGTCTTACAAAATTTTCAATGAAAGGTGTACTTCATGAAGAGTCTCTTATTACTTATCCAAAAAAGATATAGGTCATTTAGAGTTGGTTCTGAAAATATTATTGTTATTCTAAAGAAGTTAAATTTGTTTAGAGTATTAATTTTGACTATTTCTGTTTCCTGGAGTTATTGTCTAAAAATGACCAGAGATATCTTAGATTATTTTTTGTAGAGTAGAGCTTAACATTACTTTAGATATAGTGAGAATAATTTTAAAATATCCTATGTTGCTTGGACTCTTCAAAAATGTTAATGGGTGCGCGCTGAATTCTCTAAAAATAGTGTATTTTTGGAGAATCCAACATGGGTGCATCATCAAAATTGAAGAGTCCGCACACTTCACCTCTATTACTTTTCTCTTTTTTTTACTTTCAATTTTCAAGTAATACTTTTTAGGTGCGCTTTAGAAAACAGATTTAATAGTAAAATAGTAAAATTTTGCATGATAAATTGGCTAGATTTCGTTTTTCTCTGAAATTAGTTGGTTTGAGTTTTTCTTTTACTTGTTTCAACCTTTTCCTTTGTGCTATGTGTAATTGCAGGCATAACTCATAAGCTAAGTTGCACAAAAATCGCAATCTTGAATATTCATCTGTATTTTATATTTTTCAAGCTAGCAAAATTTACTGTTAAGAGGTATAATGTCGCCAAATTCGAAGGCATTAGATTTTGAATTTTGTATTATTTGTTATACGATTAAATGCAGTAAAATATTTGCTCTTTGCTCTCTAGACTTTCTTCTGCAATCATTTGCGTGAGAGTTTAGCTGGCTCCATATGCTACATTTTCCTCACTTTGTCGTGAAACATTTGGTATTTTGGTACTAGGTAACAGGTAAAACTTCATCTGTATGCACAATTTTAAATGCAATGTCCATTGCAAGCAGATCGATTATCTAGCATGAGTGGAGTAATCTGACTCTCCCTATGGATGAAAACATTAATAATATACATGTGTGCTGTCTTAAAATTGAAAATGAGTGTTGGGATGCACATGTTTATTTTACTGCTATAATTTCACCTTACCTGGTTATGTAAAGTTGAAGGTGCAACTAATTTGTATTTTCATTGGAGTTGATGTTGTGAAGTTTGTTAATGTCGTATTAATATTTTATAGTATTCACTTTGATTTTTGATCGAAAAGGCCTAACACATGATAATTTTCATACACTTTGACAATGAGGAAGAAAATAAGTCTTTTATGATGAGCTTGAGCAAGGGAAGATGGAAACGGTTGATCACATCCTCTTCACTGTTTGCTCCAATATTTCCCGGCGAGATCTACTGTTCCAAAATTTAATCATGCTAGAGTATAATCACATCCTCTTCATTGTTTGCTCTAACATTTCTTGAATTTTAATTGAGAGGGATTTGAACTCGCTTTTGAAGTAGTGTTAGTTACTTGATGATGTATTCATTCTTCATTATGTAGCATAGAATAAAGATCAATACTTAAAGAACAGTGACATAGTGTGCTTTACAAGTAGATTATATGTTATGCACTCTCTATATCTATGGAATAATATTGATTGCCTTCTTATTATATTTCTTATTTGATGTGGATTTTTTTTTTGGGCAAGTTAAGAAATATGATCCGTTACTAAATGATAGACATTGTGATTTTGATATTGTGTTTATTTAAAAGTATTTATTGTTACATTGAATCTTCAACATATTTCATAGGTAGAGCGTTGGGCCCGTGCTTAGCACGGGCAAGAATCATCTAGTTTATTAAAAGTGTCAATATGTTAGTTTGTTATATATCTTATTTATGTATTTCTTAATTTGTTTAATTTGAAAGAATACATTTGTTTAATAACAGAAGGGAGAAAATCAGGGGAGAAAATATTTCAAAAAAAGGTAAATATCACTTAATTTTCTCATCAGTTACATTTTTTAAAGAAAACTCAAACGTGTGCCTTTTTCACAATGTATTTTTGTTTTCCAGAATTTTGTAACCTTTTTAAAATCGTATTCATTCCAATATGTATATTATTTGTATTCATTATAGTTTTCATGTTGTATTTTGTATAATGAAACTTGTATTTTTTTTATTAGTTTGTATTCATTCCAATAGTTATGCCAAATGAATCTATAGTTATTTGAGAAACGTATTTGTATTTCATGTATTTTTTTCTTCAAAATCTTGTATCCTTTCTTAAGTCGTATTTATTCCAATATGTATTTTATTTGTGTTTGTACTATTCTAGCTTTTATGTAGTATTTTGTCTAATAATATATAAAATACAAAAAACAGTACGATGAAAAAGTGAGAATAAAATGTAAAACTAAAAAAGAATAAGTGAATATTTGTTGCAACCATTCTTAAATAAAATACATAACTAGTTGACATACCTTTAGAATGTATACAAATTAGGAACAATACCAGATTCATAAACTATGTAACATGATTTTTGAATGAATACAAATATTAATAGCATACATACGATTTTGAATACAAATTGAGAAAGGATACAAAAATTTTAAAACAATTATCAAAACAAACCAATAGGATGTTGTTCTTCCTATAAATAACAACATACATACCTTTGGGATGAATTCAAATTAGGAACAAATATAAGATTCATATCTATGCAACATGATATTTTGAATGAATATAAATATTAATAGCATACATACAGATTTGAATATTAATTGAGAAAGGATACAAAATTCTAAAAAAAACTATAAATACAAAACAAACTAATAGGAAATTGTTCTTCCTCAACTTGGTCTTCAACAAGTTTTTCGAAATCTTCACCACCCAATTTTGAAAATCAAAAGATACTTGGTGACAATGTATTTACCTTTATCAGTGGGTGAAAAATATTTTGAAGGAATTGTGAGATTTCTTGAACAAATTAGAGGAAAGTAGAAGAGGTGATTTTCTTAGACAAGAAAAAAAGAAAACAATGGTGAAATACTCAAGAGAGACACAAGAAAAGGAGAGAACAATGGTGAAAAACTCAAGAGAGAGAAAGGAAGAAATTGGGGTAAAAACCTAGAAAGAGAGGAAAGTGGGTAATGAGAGTTTTTTTCTTCATTTTCATGTATAAGGAGTAAAATGAGATGAATGTAGGGCTTGATTTGAGAAATAAAAGGAAAGAAAATCAATTGGATACATTTTATTTGCTAAAATATTGACATTTTCAATAATTATTTTAAAGGTGTAGATATTTTTAATAATTATGTTAGGAAGTTTGACTAGTTTGCTAATTTTTCCTTATTTAAATTGTATATATTTCCAAAACTCCGGCCTTGTAATATTCAGGGGCGGACCTACAGTGGTTCAAGTGGGTTCATATGAACCCACTTCGTTGAAAAATAACACTGTATATTTAATCAGTTTTTAAAAATTTATATGTATATATTAAATTTTGAACCCACTAACACAAATCTGAAGCTTAGCCGAGTGGTTGAGGGGGTTCAATTTTCCCAGCCAACCCGGGATC